CTGCCTTCGGCTCAGGTCATGATCCTGGAGTCCCGGGATCGAGTCCCGCATCGGGCTCCCTGCCCGGCAGGGAGTCTGCTTCTCTCTCTGACCCTCCTTCCTCTCATGCTCTCTGTCTCTCATTCTCTCTGTCTCAAATAAATAAATAAAATCTTTAAAAAAAAAAAAAAATGAAAACAATCCAAATGTTCATCAACAAATGGATAAACAAACTGTGATATACACATACACTGGAATCCTATTCAGCCATTTAAAGGAATGAAGTTCTAATAAAACACGAACCTTGAAAACATCTTACAAAGTGAAAGAAGCCAGACACAAAAGTTACAATTTAGAAATATGAAGGTAAATAAAAGATGAAAAAAAAACTTAAATAATTTTCTCTGGGAAGCAAGAATTAACAGGGGAAAATGAAGCTTTATAATGTTTGATTTTGTAATGTGTATAAATTACTTCAATAAAAATTTAAAATATCAGTGGTTGCTAGGAGTTAGGAAGAGGCAGGAATGAATAGGTAGAGCACAGAGGATGTTTCGGGCACTGAAACTACTCTGACTGATACTATGGCTACATGTCATTACTTATCTGTCCAAACCCACAGAATGTACAACATCAAAGAGTGAACCGTCACGTAAACTACGGATTCTAAGTGATGATGACATGTCAGCACAGGTTCATCAATTCTAACAAATGTACCACTCTGGTGGAGGATGTTGATGATGATAAGGGAGGCTATGAATGTCGGAGGGCAGGGGGTATATGGAAAAAAACCTCGGTACCTTCTGCTCAATTTTGCTATGAGACTAAAACTGATCTAAAAAATAAAGTCTATTAAATAAAATTTTTCTAAAATCAAAAATAAAGGGGCTGGGAAAATTGATTATCCACATGAAGGAAAAATAGAACTGGATGACAACTTAAAAGCAATTCAACATTGATTAAAGACCTAAATATGAAACACGAAACTTGAAAACTTTAGGAAAAAAACATAGGAAGCTGGGGCGCCTGCGTGACTCAGTTGGTTAAGCATCTGCCATGGGCTCGCATCAAGATCTGGGATCAAGCCCTAGGTTGAGCTCCCTGCTCAGCAGGGAGTCTGCTTCTCTCTCTGCCCCTCCCCCCTGCTCATGCGGGCACACACTCTCTCAAATAAATAAAATCATTTTTTAAAGATTTTGTATTTATTCATTTGAGAGAGAGCACCCACAAGCGAGAGCATGATTGGGCGGGGGAGAGGCAGAGGGAGAGGGAGAAGCAGACTCCCTGCTGATCAGGGTGCCCGATGCGGGGTTCGATCCCAGGACCCCAAGATCTTGACCTAAGCCAAAGGCAGAGGCTTACCCGACTGAACCACCCAGGGGCCCCAATAAATAAAATCTTAAAAAAAAAAATAGGAAGTTATTTGATGATTTCAGTGTAAGGACTCATTTCTTAAAACACAAAAACACCACAGGGGTGCGTGGGTGACTCAGTCCATTGGGCACTGGACTCTTGGTTTCCACTCGGGTGGTGATCTCAGGGTCATGGAGTCAGCCCCGCACCAAGCTCCAAGTTCAGCAAGGGGTCTGCTTCTCTCCCTTCCCCTCTGCTCCTCCCCCAGTGCACGCTCTCTCTTTCTCAAATAAATAAATCTTAAAAAAAAAAAAAAACACAGAAACACCACAAAAGATGATTAGTAAACTATAACACATTAAAATTTGAAACTTCTATTTAAATACCACCATTGAAAAATAAAAATTAATAATAATAAACATCAAGCAACTCAGTAGAAAATCTTGCAGACCATACAGTTCTTACTGTATCTTCAGAAGAAAAAATATATTAAAAAAAAACTTTTAAAATGATGCACAACTACACTGGTAACCAGCAAAATGCAAATCAACACCATAAAGGTATCACTTCACAACAATCAGACTGGCAAAAATACAAATGTGTAACAATAATGGGTGTGGGCAAGGAGGTGGAGCAACAGGAACTCTTGCACTCTGCTGGTGGTAATGTAAATGGATATAAATGCTTTAGAGGGACACCTGGGTGGCTCAGTCAGTTAAGCGTCTGCCTTCGGCTCAGGTCATGATCCCAGGGTCCTGGGATCGAGTCCCGCATCGGGCTCCCTGCTCCACGGGGTGCCTGCTTCTCCCTCTGCCTCTGCTCCCCCT